TTCCTTGTCTACCCTCTGCCCAGACTCTAAGACAGCAGCATTTTATGTAAAACCACTGTTTGCAGAACACTGAATGCATAAGCAATTCCAACCCATGGAAGCAGTTGGTCCTCACAGTACCAAGAGGGTCCTGCAGGATTATTCTACAGCTGCTATCCACTCCCAGTTGCTCAAGAGAAACTTGCATTTCCTCATACACTGATCCACGAGCCCATCCCAGCCTGCTGAATACCATCAGCTTTTTGCACACACCTAACAGCTTCTTGTTTGTTCAAAAGCCTGCAGCCCCCACGCACTTCATGCCCACAATAGCCTTATTTCATTTTTTCATGGGATTTCTCCTGCTTCATTTCCGGGATTTTTTTTTTTTTCCTTCATTTGAAGGGCAGATAATGCCTGCAATTACTGTTTTACTTCCATTAAGAACAACAAAAAGAGCCAGCATTTAAGCTCATATCCAGTCATCTTGCTCTCTCTTCAGCCCAAATGACAGCACTGAGACCAAAACAGGCAACACTTTAATGACAGCAGTCTAAGAGATGTCCTATAACACTCAAAAAATCCCAAAGCTACTGACCACGTTACTTGACTTTTTGGGCTTCCTCTAGGATATTTTTCTTTTTAAATCATACATTATCACACCATGAAGGCTACAAAATCTAAACCAAACTGGACTGTACAAAAGTGTTGCATATGGAGGCACTTGAAGAAACAGGAAGGGAGGACTTTCACAGTGGTGCACCTGAACAACCATCAATCATTTCAGGTACATACTTTCAGCTGCAATACCAGTCTCAAGACAAAGCAGAAGCTCTTGACAGGTTGCAGGACTGCGGGCAAGACCAGTTTCCAGCCTGTAACACTCAAGAGAACTGACTCAACAATTTTAAGTCTAGAAGCAAAGACTGTTGGTAAGTCTAATTAGACAGGGTAGTGTAGCCAGAGAGTAGGAGTTCAGTGGCTGTATTTAAAACTGTAGGAACCACCAGACTGAATTTTGCCTCAGTAGTATTCTACAGCCCACTTATGTTTCAAATTAAGAAATAAAGAAGCAAACAGAAAACAAATATAAATAGATGCATAATAATAATAAAATAAACAGATGTACAATGGAATGTAAAAGATGGGTTTGGTCAAACCCATCCCTTGCTACCACAGTTTTTCAATTGACATGTTACTTCACTGTCCACAAAACTCAGCTGTAACACTGGCATCAGCAAAGATACAAAAGTAGCATAAGAAGCGCAATATAGTTAGAAAATGGACCAAGAAGCCATAACAAGCAGATTTTGACAGATAAACAATAGAGACATTAAATGTTTTAGTAACTTGCCCAATTTTTGTCAATGAGTATAAAAAGCTGTTAGTGAAAATGTGGGTCTCTAAATTGAGAGGCAGTACCTGTAAGTCATGATATCAACAGAGGATATCACGCTGAAGTTGCAAAAGAAGGATCACATTCAGTTAAGAACAACATACTGTGAATTTCTGGTGCAAGTTGAGAATTCACAAAGTGGGAACAAGTTACTTAGATATCCCAAGTAGGCACAAGATGACTACATGACAGCTTTACTATCATGACAAAGATGGGTCCTATTAAAATTTTTTTTCTGCTACAGCTAGAGAAGTATTAGTAACCTTTTACACAATACAGTGAGATCCCATCTAAAGTGACCACAAGCGTTGCCCACATTAAAAAAAATGTTTGTCAAACTGAAGGAGATGCAAGACTTACCATGATTATCAAAAGAGAAAACTGGTTTTAAGAGAAGAGGTTTTAAGACTTCAAGTTCATAAAAAATGCTAAGAAAGGAATGACTCCTGTCTACAGATATGTCAGAAAGCTAAGTGTAAGAAAGAAGGAAAAGGAGCTAAAGCATAGGCACAACTGGATACAGACTGGCCTTTCAGCCACTCAGAATGGAAGCAGAAAGACAGGTTAATTCTAGGATTTGTATCAGAAGATTGCTGTAGATACTCATTCCTCCAGAGAGAAACTAATCAGCTGAAAAGTAGAACAAGAGCTACTGAGTCTTGCAGACAGTATCTCTAGTTTAAAACAAACAAACAAACAACACAAAAAACTTGGGATTTGGATTTCTTGATTTTAGGACTCTTAAAAAGAAATATATTGCTAAAATTTGCTTTCAGTTGTCTGTTCTATTTTCTCTCGTCTACTGTCAAGCAACTATTTGCTTATGGGGTAGTAATCCTTTAAGTCAAAACAACTACAAAATCCATTGCCCTGTGGTTCTCCTCCTCTCAGCCCCCAACAGCTTCTGCAGCAGTCTCCTGTTCCCCTTTTGTCCCAGTCACCCAGGTACCACATTTGTGTTCCTTCACACTGGAAGTCACCCTGCACTTTAAGTCCCTGGAGATGCAGGTCAGACAAAAATCAGTGGTATAATCTCTAGAGATGTAGAAAGGAAGCACTGAAGACGCTTACATTGAGTTTGAAATAGACCTACACAGAAACTTACCAGGACAACAGTGTTCAAGAACATACAAGCAAGCCTTATCCAGCCAATATGGGGAACGTGGCTGGTGATTCAAGTTAATCACAAACAGCAGTCAGGCATCAAACTTCTAAGGAATAGATTCTGTACTGATACAGGTGAAGCTAGCAATTGGGAAACAGCTACTAAGCAAGTTCAAGCTGTTGTCACTGCTTGTTTGGAAATAACTCGTCAGAAAGCAGTTTGAACTGTTTCTACGCACTTAATCTATGTCCTAAATCTGACTTGGTGTTATCCCATTTAGTTCACCCTTGAGTGTGTCTACTTCCATGATGCCAAAGCCCAGCCTCAGGCCAGCCATACATGTACTCCATCCACAATACTACAAAGGACTCTAATCTGGTAAGTGTCAGCACCCACTCTTACAGCCCAGCAAAGCTGCTGCTATCATCCTTAGCCTCAAAGATGTTATTACACACAGCAGTATTTAGAAGCAGCCAGTGATCTCATGTGGATGTAAGACTGAAAGAGAATAAACATGAAGTTGCATCAGGAAATGAAGAATGAATGGAAATCACTGACAAAAGTGACCTCAACAATGAATTTCCAACTTCAGTTGGTGCAAGAAAGCTGTTACAGTGGCTGAGGTGTTGGAACTCCAAATAAGTCTGAGCTGGAGCAGCATCCAAAAATAAATACTAAAGTCACATAAACGGGGAAGCATGCTGGAGTGTCAGAAACCAAAGTAAAGCTAGACCAATAGCAAAACCTTGCAAGATTCCTGCTGAGGGCCTTTCTCCCTTATAATATTAGAAAAAGCTGATCAGCATGGTCCCAAGGCTGTATGTATACCACACAGGGAATGGCATATACTAGAACACCATAGAGATTTTTTGCCTAAACACAAATGTTTGTATTTTGAGATCAGGCCTCTCCCTGCTGCATTGCATTGCTTAGTAGACGTTTAAACAAGACACTTGCTGTATTGGCAGCTTGGGGAGGACACCAGCATCTTCCGGCACATAGATAAACGGGAGAAAAAAAGCCCAAACCCTAACCTTTGTAGTTATTTCAATAGCTACTAAAGAAGAAAATGAAAACAGAAATCAGAAAATGGTATGCTTCCAGCCTGAGACACATCTACAAAGGAATTGTGCAATGAAACCATCAGCCGAGTTCCCAGATAACGGGCAGTGCCATTGACCTTGGCTCGGAACACGGGGCAACTTTGTTGCCACCTCCCCATTCTGCTGCAACATAAAATCCCGGGCAAGTGCTGCCTCCTACAACCAAACACGCAACACCACTCCTCCGACTCCCGAGCATCTTGACAAAATGCTTCCAAGCCCTATTTTATTCTCTTGATGGTAAAACAGAGTTTTCCAAGCACAACCTTTTTTATTACCCTACCCCATTCGGGCCAGAGGGCTCGCCTTCAGGGTGACACACCAGCCCTGCCCTCCACACGCCATTATACATTAACCGGTGTTCCGCGCGTTGCGGGCACACAAAGGATAACCCCGACGTTCCAGTCAGTGTCGTGTCGTGTCGTGTGTCCCGTCCCGGGAGCTGCCCCTCCCTCTCTGCTCTCCCTCCCCGCCGAGGGGCGCCGGGGCCGTGCACGTGGGCGCGCCCCGCCGCCCCAAGATGGTGGGCGAGAGGCGCGCCCGCCCCGCCCCCGGCACGGCACGGACCGGACCGCGCGGCGACCGCCCGCCGCTGGCCCCGGCCGGCAGGGACCCGCACGGCCCCGGCGTGTCGCCCCCTTGCCCGCCTCGGGGCGGAGGGAGCCTCGGCATGACCGTGTGCGCAGGGGATGTCCCCCGTGAGGCGCCCGCGCCCTCCGGCCAGACAAAGGGACGCGGCCCCAGTGGGTCCGGCCGGTGGCGGCGGAACGGGAACATGGCCCGGGCCGGGAGCGGCGCCCCCCGCCCCACGTGCGCGGCGGCTCGGCGGGCTCACCTCGTCCTCCCGCTCGCTGCGGAAGCACAGGCACGCCGCCCGCTTCTTGTAGCCCTCCCGGTCGTATGTCCGCGTCTGGTTCGGCTTGAATTTCATCATAGAGGCGGTGACACGCCGGCTGCCCCCGGCCGCCGCTGCCGCCGCCACGGCTCCTCTCTGCGAGCGCCGCCGCCGCCGCCGCGCCCCGGGACACCGGCGCGGGCCCCCCGCTCGGGAGCGGGGCAGGAGGCAGGCCAGTCCCAGCTGCCAAGCTGCTGTCACCACAGCGCCGCACCGCCGCCGCCACCGACGCCGCTGCTGGCACTGCCGCCACCCCGGGAGCCGCGCCGCGCCATGGAGGCTCCCCCGGCGCCCCGAGCTGCCGCCGCCCGCCCGCAGCGGCCACCCCTGCGCCCCCACTATTTAACCGGAACGCGCATTCCTGCGCCCGCCGCGCCGCTCCGCGCAGGCGCCGGGCGGGGCTGGCGGCGGGAGGGGCGGGAGGCGAGGCCCGGTCGCGGGGGCGCTCTGGCGGCGGCGGCGGGTCCTGTGGGGAGGGTACCGTGTGGAGACCGGGGCCGGCGGGCGGTACAGCCGCGGCCGCTGGGCCCGTGCCCGGTGCGGCTCCCCGGGAGCGGGGATGATGCGGTCTGTGCCGGCAGCCGCCGTGGCACCGAGCCCGGCGTAGGTGTGCTTTCCCTGCGCCGTACAGCGGGGATGCACGTGGCTCAAGTGCCGTAATAGGAGCGTAGCTTTGGCAGTGTAAGTTAAATCCTTTTCTGAAGTAACGTGGTTTTGGAAGTTAGGGTGTACGGAGGCTGGGAAAGCGGGCATCTCACGCCTTTTTTTGTTTTGTTTGTATAATACTGTTTGGGAGCTAGGGATAGACAAAAGGCCTTCCCAGTGCTGCCAGCAAGCCAGGAAAAGGTCTGCTGTCCTCATACCTTTATTATCATCTGGCACGCTGAAAGCCCTAGTGTTTTTATTGTCATTAAAAAAAAAAAAAAAAGCCCACGAAGCCAAATCCAAAAGCAAAACAAGGAAATGCTACTCTTTTCAATGCCCCCAGATTTCTGTCAACTGCAAGTAGCCGTCAACAAATTTAGTGCTTGTGCATGAAAGATTGCTCAGTTGTGTTGGCAGATGTTAGGTAATATGTCCTTATTGTAGTGATGTGTGATTGTAGAAATCACCTACCCAAATTGCATCATAAACTTTTTCCTTCATCTGAATCTTACTGGTGTTTAGCAGGCTCTTGTGCTTTTAATTGAACTAGTGTGTTTTAAACTTCTATCCTACTTGTTGTTTATTTCATCCCAAGATTATTTTTTGGCAGTTTTTGATCAATAATAAGTCAGACCTTTTATATGCTGTTTGTGGCTTGCATTGAAGGGAGATATGTTCATCATCATTGGTTGCTCTGGTTCTTAGTGAAATTTGGACCTTCTGTTCTTCAGTACATGAACTAAATGTGATAACTCACTCCAATGTCACACTTAAGAACCACAGAAGTTGAAGAAAACACAATTTTTTTGAGTTACATCATTTTGGGTGAAGTTATATTGAACTGTAAAGTCAAACATCCAAAGATTAGGAAACTGCATTTTTAATTTGCTTTTGCACGTTGATCACTAAAGGCCCCTGTTACTTTTTCCCTTTGCAAGTGGACTGGCAGATAAGATTTCTTTGTTTTCTCCTCATTCAGTGCCGATCTAGGTCTCATTTGTCACTACTTGTCACTAGTCAGTCCTGAAGCTACATATGATTGAATGGATCTATCCAGTCAGGATAAATTTATTTATTTATTTATTTATTTATTTATTGTTGTTGTAAGGGAAGAACCAATATCTAATTACTGTCTGAAATTTTTAGTTCAGAGTTCATAGCATTGATATCGAGAAACTTTGAGAATGCTCAGGAATGGTTTTGATGCTTGATTCATAAATTCATCCATGATACAAAAAAGGGGATGTGGTATGGGTTGCTGTATTCCCATGTCATTTAAAAGACACATCGTTATAAACAGTAAATATCATTCATCAAATGCATATAGCAAAAAAAGTCTTACTTTCTATAACAGGCCATGATAGAACTCATTTTGCTTTGAGTTATGCCTTGAGCTTACTGTTTCAGGGTTTACCTTTTGAGACAAACCGGTTTTAAGTCTTCAATATAGATATTTCTGAATTATTTTGTTTACTGTTATGGTTTTTTTTTGTTTGTTTGGGAGGCTTCACCTCTTATGCAGTTGGAGTAAATTCAAAAGTAGGATTTATACTTAACGAGAGCAGTGTCCAAAGATCAGATGACGTTAGGCCAGGTTTTCCATTTCTGTACAACTCACCCCTCCCACCCCCCAAAACCAAACAAAACATTTGACTGCCAAATCAGAACACAACGCACAAGTATGTCTGTTGTGAAACTCAGTGGTTTCTTTGTTCATGTATCTCAGAGGTAAGAGCCGGAAGGTGGAGCTTCGTGAGACAGGCCAGTCCGTAGGCTGGCTTTAGTTACAGCTTCTAGTCCACATATCCTCAAACACAATTACAATCCAATGGCTTGTAAATTCATTGGGGCCCTCTGTTTTTGTGAAAGCCCCAACTTCTGCCTATGTGTACTTAGGCTTTTATTTAACAAAATAGAAGAAACAGAACTTTGTGAATATGGAAAAACACTAAAAAAATAGTGATAGATGAATCCTAAAAGAGGAAGCGTTAGGACCTTTTGTATTTTGGACTTTGAGGGATTTTGTTTTGAGAGATGCAACCTTTTTTTTTTTTTCTTTTTTTGGGAGAGAGAAGTTGAGATCCATTGTGCCATGAATTGAATTAATCTTAAATGCCTGAAATTATTTTGGTTTTGTTGTTTGGAGGTGTGATTCTTAAACAGTCCTTGGTTTTTAAGAGTCATCAAGAGGCTTGAATCTTCAAGGTTTTGTATTTTTCAAAATTATTCTGTCTTGTAAGTTTAAGTTATATGGTCTGTGTATACACTAAAGTCAGCATTAACTGTGTGAAACAGTCAACTAATAAGTGAATAATATTTACAATGCTATCAGATACTTGTATTCATAATAGTTCTGTAATGATGCATTGCTTTGTATTTTGTTAACGCAATGTGTGAATTCTGGGTATCAGATTATGATTGCATGGGATATATTACTGAAAGGAACTGCTCCAGTGTGGTACCAAGGATCTATTTTATTCAGAGATATTTTTTGTTGGATTTTTTTGGGTTTTGTTTTGTTTTTTTTAGGAGTGCCTCTGGATTTTGAATTTTAGCTATAGTAATTGTGAAGTAACTGATGATACCTTAAGTACAAGTGTGAACTGGAGCTGAGTGTACAATACAGAATGGAATGATACTTTAAGGAAGTTCAAAAACCTCTACATTCAGGCAAAAATAGCCTTCCACCTAGATGTAGTTACACTTTGAAGTGAAGCCTGCTTAAATGCGAGGGAACAACTTCCTTTTCCTTGGGAAGAAAGAAACAAGTTTAAAAATTTACAGAGTAATTAGATTTTCCAGTTCCCTTGACCTACATTTAATGCAGAGGTTAGAAACTGCAGTGTTCAATAACTATGTTCTGGCAAGTTTTACATGACTTTCTTTTCCACTTGTAGTTTATGATGGTTTATAAAAAAGAAATATTTGCTTTATTTAACATTTGCTCTGAAGAGGAATGGATTCTTAAATTTTTTTCTCACCTCTGCAAATAGCACATCAAATTAATTACTTTATATTGGGAAAACCAGTGTCTCTAGTTACAATTATTCTAAGTGATAATTTGTTCTGTCACAGTTATAACATTTCTTTGGTATTCAACAGCTAAACCAGGACAAAAATCCAAAAGTGAACACTGTCTTGAGAATGCATCCCTCTTGTGCTGCATGGGGTGAGCTTTTGGAACAGTAGATCCTCATTCAGTGGCACTGTAGCTGGGTGAAAGGCTGCCTGCAGCTGTAGGCTCAGTCATCATTTCAGCAGAATTTGCAGTAGCTGTAGTGTTTTGGTTGGAAAGGTTAACCTGACAACCAACCTGGTTAGCACCTTTCCCAAACCTAGAAAATATCTTAAACTTATTTGAATATAAGAACATTTGGTTTAGCAAATGGGTAAGGATTCACCAGGTTAGTTCTTATTTAAAGTGATTTACTACCCAAGGGACTAGTGATTCTTCTGAGATTTTATATTATTTGGCAGGAAAAATATTACTCTAGGTAAGTATGCAAGTGAGAACAGTACCGAGCTAACTTCTCTGCAGACTTAAAATATCATCTTTCTAATGATTTAGCAGTTATGAAAGTGCCAGCATTACTTTTAAGTGCCAAAAAATTATGCAAAAGGCTTGACAACTCATACATGCACTCTCTTCTGGTAAACACTGAACAGGGAGAACTTTAAAAATTGGAACACTTACATATTACTAAATTGTATTTCTGTGTAAAGGAGCTTTTATAAAGTAAGTCCCACATTGTCTTTTCCCTTAGAGCTACATTATCACCTGAATCTTTTGTAAGCTGCGCTTTGAAGAGAATACGTGTGCTTGCTCAGTATGATAGGGTTACATTCACCATCCACAGGGCTCCCGAATTTTCATGTGAATCTAGAGCACTGCTACAGCTGCCAACAAGTATCTTTTACTTTGGTTTATTATCGTTGAACAACATGTATGATCCATATGCAATTACACTATTACTGTCTGCCAATACAGCTTTATAATCTTGACTTTTATCAAAAGTAAAGTTAGCATTGCTTTGATGTCTGGTAAAAGTGACCCTGCCAGTAAAGATAGGGTTTAGTATCAAATGCTTATAAAAGGGGATAAATAATACTCACCTGTTAATTAAAAGGGAGAATCAATTAAATACAGCTGTGTTCATTTGAAACTAGACATCTCAGCATGTTTATTTTTATATATTAAGAGAATGGCATGATTTTTTTGGTGATTTTTGTGTTTAGTGAATTGTGATTGGTTTGGATTTGCTTAAAATTGAACTTCTTTTAGCAAGATAGAAAAAGTAGTACTTTACATAACTGTTGAGCATATAATATTTGGCTTCTACAATAAAACTATATTGATGATACGCAACTTCATCTAAAGTACCTGAAGATTTTTTTAAACTAATGCAAAATTCTTTTATCTCTGTCATAGAGGCAACATAAAACCCAAAGGATTTATCCAGACTTTATGAAATAAGTATGAATTAAGATCATTGTTGTGTATTTCAGATTTTCTGTGACATTATGTAACCTTAAATTTAAGTTTAAGCTCCTAAGCCTCTAGAGTAGGGCTTTGTTAATGGGATCCCCTGTTGTTTAATTTTATATTCATAAATATTCTTCCCATGAAAGATGCATTTCACATTTGGGTCCTTAGTATTTTCTCCTTCTTAGTTACAAATTCATTGCCGTGACACTATTGTTATTTAAGTTTTGATTTAATTCTTGTAGTAGACTATTTTTAGTGTTAGTAGATGTTGTTTGGAGAGACTATATGACTTACTAGTCTTGTTCAGTGCTGAAGTTATGCCTTCCAGTGATCGCAGTGACATTCTGCTTTATGTGTAAAGAAAATTATAAGTGTGGCTCTGTGAAAATTGTAGTAGTATGAGTAGATTCTTCATGGGTCCTCATTCAGTTTCCTGAATAAAAAAGGGTAAAATATGCCTAGGTTTTGAAGAGTTGGGCTTCTTGGAAAAACAGGACTTCACTGACTCAAAGCTGAGTAAATACTCAAATAGTTTTGGAGGTCTACCTGG